ACCAGATGTCCAGTTACAAATTTATATAAAAAAAAAATGTTTTTCTTCATCCTTCTAGTACTCAGGATGTCCAGGGATAAATAGCCAACTGAAACCATTACATTTCTGGTCTTTAAGAGGCAGAAAATTATTATCTCTTATAAACAGTTTTATATGTCTTGGCAATTAGAGAGATGTAAATAGTTAATAGGGGATTCCCTGGTGGCTCAGCTGGTAAAGAATCTGGCTGCAATGCAAGAGACCTGTGTTCAATCCCATGGTTTGGAAGACTCCCTGGAGAAGGAAATGGCAACCCTATCCATTATTCTTGCCTGGAGATTTTCATGGACAGAGGAACCTGGTGGGCTATGGTTCATGGGGTCTCAAAGAGTCGGACACACCTGAGTGACTAACACACACACACACCATGCAAATAAATAATTAATTAAATTTTGATAAAAAGAAACCTGAGTTCATAATTTCAAATTGATTGAGGATACTGATGAGACTTGGGTTTGAACTAACAAATGTCAGGCAACTTAAAAATAGGTACAATTAAAGGACTTCTAGAAGTAGTCTTGAATTGAACATAATTTCCTGATATGATTAAGATCCTTGCACTCTTTAAAACATTCTGTTCTCTAAAAGACAAGAGAAGTAAAGAGGCATCAATTACACAATAGTGATAATTTATTTTTCAAGATATTTATGAGCAAAGACAGAGTCTGAAGTTTCTAGAGTTGTGAAAGTCACCAAGTAGGTGTCTCAAGACTAAAGAAAAAAGAGACAAGTGGGCTGTATCTGCAATCCTTTTCTGTAATCTGAGTCTGTTATTCTCTTTAATTACCCTGATGATTTAATCTGTTGTTTATACTTGCTTAGTTTGTTGTTACATATGTGATGCTCACATATTTGGAAGAGACCCCAGCTCATCCTAAAACATGTTTTTAAACAGTCTGCCCTCCCCCCTCTTTAATGGAATCTATAAATTCTGGGGGGTTTACTAGAGGAAATGGGCACATGAGTAGCTCCCACTTCTGCAGGAAAGGAATATATTAAAGCAATTAAGTGACGCTGTCCCAAGCCAGGTAATTGGAACTTTTAACAGAAATTACGTTTGTATCTTTAAAAAATTTATTGATGGCCTTGGTCAAAATTTGGGGAGCAAAATCATTTCAGTAGATGTTAGTGTGTTTAGTTGGTGTTGGCTGAGGAACAACCACAGAGCAGTTGTTGGTCCAAATCAAGAACTATAGCCCTGAATCTCTGGTGTTTACCATCAGGTGTTTTGAAGAAGCATGAATTGAAGACATATAAAATAAAAGCTATTTCTTTGCCAAACAGTGTTTACCTTTCGGCCTTGATGCAAGTGCTTTTTATGTGCTGAGTGGAGAGGTTCTAGTGCCGTTTAAGGGCCACCTGGTGGACTTCCCTGGGGACCCACTGGTTATGAGATCTCCTGGTGGGCTGCCATCTATGGGGCTGCACAGAGTCGGACACAACTGACACAATTTAGCAGCAGCAGCAGCACCCGATGAAGGGACACATGTTCCATCCCTAGTCTGGGGAAATTCCACATGCCGCCAGTCAACTAAGCCCATTCACCACAAGTACAGAGCCCATGATCTAGAGCCCACACTCCACAATGAGAAGCCACCACCAGGAAAACCCTGAAACCGCAACTAGAGTGTAGCCCTCATTCACCGCAACTAGAAGTATACACACAACAAGGAAGACAAAGCACAATCAAAAATAAAACTAAAAATATTAAAGCATGTAAATAAATAACAAAATAAATAGATAAAATAAGAGTCACCTAGAACATTTCATCCACCAAATGTAAAAACCAACAAGAATCCCTGGAATTAGACTCAGGGATATGTCAAAAGTTAGAAGTGTCAGAGTAGTTATTAAATTGATTCCATATATTATACAACATAAACTGATCTAGGTCTAAGGGTAGATATTATCTTGAATTAATTCTATATCTCAGAATCTGTCAGTGCTGTGGTTATTACATAAAATAAGATTTTTGACTAGGATGTGATATAAGGTGTGACAAAACCCATAGGTCTTAAACTGTGGTTTGAGAGATTAGGAGACTGCTTAGAAGAGTCTAAACAGAACACAGAGGAACAAGTCACTAAATGCCAGTTATAGATCAGGAGCGGCAAACTGGGGGAATCACGAGGAGTGGAACAGAGCAAGTGGTAAGGGAAAACTACTTTCTGGACAGCAGTCTACCTAAGATGACTACAATACCTGACTCTCACAATGGTGTGCTTCTAGAGCCACTCTCCATTACTTCAAGACCAGCAAACAAAGATAGAACTTCCCCTGTATGAACCAGGGAAACTACAGAATTAAATGAAAATACTTGCAGTGTCAGTAGACTTCAAGACAGGGTTACAGTAAGAAAATTCTAGCTTGATCTCAGTTGTTAATATAGATAAGTCAACACTAACTTTTGGTTTTAGTACAGTAAGCATGGATTAATAACCTCAGATATGCATATGACCACCATTATGGCAGAAGGAAAAAAGGAACTAAATAGCCTCTTTGAAAGTGAAAGAGAAGAGTGGAAAAACTGGTTTAAAACTCAACATTCCAAAAACTAAGATGAGGGCAGCTGGTCCCATCACTTCATGACAAATAGATGGGGAAACAAAGGAAGCAGTGAGAGATTTTATTTTGGGGGGCTTCAAAATCACTGTGGATGGTGACTGCAGCCATGAAATTAAAAGATGCTTGCTCCTTGAAAGAAAAGCTATGATCAACCTAGACAGCATATCAAAAGCAGAGACAATACTTTGTCAACAAAAGTCCATCTGGTCAAAGCTATGGTTTTTCCAGTAGTCATGTATGGATGTGAGAGTTGGACTATAAAGAAAGCTGGGTGCTAAAGAATTGATTCTTTTGATCTGTGGTGTTGGAAAAGACTCTTGAGAGTCCCTTGGACTGCATGGAGATCAAACCAGTCAATCGTAAAGGAATCAGTCCTGAATATTCACTGGAAGGACTGATGCTGAAGGTGAAACTCCAATACTTTGGCCACCTGATGCAAAGAACTGACTCATTGGAAAAGACCCGGATGCCTGGCAAGATTGAAGGCAGGAGGAGAAGAGGACGACAGAGGATGAGATGGTTGGATGGCATCATCAACTTGATGGACTTGAATTTGAGCAAGCTCCAGGAGTTGGTGATATGGAAGCCTGGCATGCTGCAGTCTATGGGGTCGCAAAGGGTCAGACACAATTGAGTGACTGAACTGAACTGAACACCAAACATGGAATAAGGTAGAGAGTGAACAGAGGTGCAGTTGAAGTGGCATTCCATTTTAAACATGTGTGCTTTAAATGAGTGTGAAATTGCCAGGTGATGATGTTTAGCATTGAAAGTGTGTGTTGAAGTGTGTTAGTTGCTCGCTCGTGCCCGACTCTTTGTGACCCCATGGACTGCAGCCCACCAGGTTCCTCTGTCCATGAGATTTTCCAGGCAAGGATACTGGAGTGGGTTGCCATTTCCTTCTCCAAAGGATCTTCCCAACCCAGGGATCGAACCCAGGTCTCCTGCACTGCAGGCAGATTCTTTACCCACTGAACTACAAGGGAAGCATTGAAAGAGATCATGTCAAATATGTAACATTTTGAATTACCAAATTTTAAGTGATAAATTGACGTCAAGAGATCTCACAATTTCCACAAGAAAGTCATAGATAAGCAGAAGAAGATGTAGGGATGAAGTGTGAGAAACATCAATGTTATAAAGATGAGTAGGGGAAGAGGTTCTTATAAAGGAGAAACCAGAAGGGCAGAACAAAAACCAGGAGTATGGTTATTGTGCAGAAATGCGTTTATAGAAACCTCAGTAGAAAAAGTGGTTGACAGTGACAAATTACAACAAAACTTGCAAATAATATGAGCTACACTTTGTTGAAACTTAAAGAAATTACAACTACAATTGCAAGAAATAATTGCTACAAATAACAGTTTCAGTGGAGTGCTGTGTTCAGAAACCATATTGGAAGTAGTTGAGGAGTAGGTTGGAAGTTGGATGCAGTTAGAGTAAATTATTAAAAGCTAAGGATGAAAGTTCATTTGAAGAAATTCATAGTAAAGGGCTAGGAAAGAATTTTCATTAAAGGAACACTCCTCTGTAGATTAAGTATAAGTTTGGTCATGGCAGTGGAACAGAGTCCTCAAATGCTTTCGCAAATGGATAAACACTTATGTGTTTTTGATATATCAAGAAAAGGAAGTTTCAAGCAGATAATTAACCTGTGTAAAATTTCAGTTAGTGATAAAAGAAAAATTCTTAGAAAACAGGATATTCTAAAGTTTATGATTTCATTGACCCTAGGGAACAAGTTTGCTATGAGAAAAATCAATTCCAAAATAGAAAGTAAAAGCATGACACACTTTTAAAGAGATATCATGGAAAATATATGTTTTACTTGGACAATATGCTTTAACTAACCCCCCCAAAGTGAAATGTGTTTTATAAATACAGGTTATCACCATTTAGCATGCTATAAAATCGATTTTGTGATATTTTTATTTATTTATTTTAAAATTGATATATATTTGATTTACACTATTATGTTAGTTTCACACATACAGCATAATGATTCAATATTTTTAGAAATTTTATACAAAACCTCAGAGATCAGGGCATGTTTGGGTTGGTATTGAAATTTTTGTTGTATACATGTTTGTATATATATTGTGCTTTGTTTGTGTGCCCATACACTGAACTACAATATAAAATGTGTATCTTAGCATATTTTGAAGTCCAGAATATTTGGGAGCTAAGCTTCCAGCCTACCATAGACATACCAACAGGGCTTACACCATGAATCAATTAAAATACTCATTATTCAGAAAGAAGATACATATAAATGGCTTGACTTGACTTATCTAAACAACATCTACATTTGAAATGTGAACCATTTTCTTACCCTCTTCTCAGATTTTCCTTCCAACAGTTTTACAAGCAGAATGGACAGAAGTCCAGGCCCAGAAATGAGAAACCATACACCAGTGGTCAGTTTCATCCTCCTGGGATTAACAGATGACTTACAAATGCAGATTCTGATTTTCACACTTTTACTCATCACCTACATACTGAGTTTAACTGGAAACCTGATCATCATCACCCTCATATTAGTGGATTCTCATCTTAAATCTGTGGTGTACTATTTTCTCCAAAATTTTTCCTTCTTAGAAATCGCAGTCACTTCTGCCTGCATTCCTAGATTCTTGTATAGTATACCAACAGGTGACAGGTCCATTACCTATAATGCTTGTGTAGCTCAACTATTTTTTACCTATGTGTTTGGAATGACAGAATTTTTTCTCTTGGCCACCATGTACTATGATCGCTATGTAGCCATCTGCAAACCCCTGCATTATATGACCATCATGAACCACAGGTCCTGCAAAATGCTTATCTTCTTCTGTTGGAAGACCACTTTCTTGATTATATTTCCACCATTTTGCTTGGGACTGAACCTGGAATTCTGTGATTCTGTCATTGATCACTTCTTCTGTGATGTTAATCCACTTCTAAAGATCTCATGCTCAGATCCATGGTTCATTGAAGAGATGACCCTTGTTGGCTCTGTGTTGATATATATCATGACTCTCATATGTGTGGTTTTGTCTTACATGTTTATCATCAGAACAATTCTAAGATTCCTCTCTGCCCAGCAAAGGACAAAAGCCTTTTCCATCTGTTCTTCCCATTTTATTGTGGTTTCCATCACCTATGGCAGCTGCATCTTTGTCTATATCAAACCTTCATCAAAAGATGAATTGTCTATTAATCAGCGAGTAGTAATACTCACAACTTCCATTTCACCCATGTTAAACCCATTTATTTATACTCTTAGGAACAAACAACTGAAACATGCCTTTAATGATTTAGTCAAAAGAATTTTATCGGTTTCAAAGAACTAGGAGAATGTTGATAAGATCCCTAAACAATTTTCTTATGTGTGTATCCTATTTTTTCTCTTCTTGAACTAGATTTGGTCTTCCATTCTTCTCTGACCATGATGAAGTCAAATTTCTGTGTGTGTGTGTGCTGATCACTTCAGTTGTGTTTGACTCTTTGCAACCCTACGAACTGTCCCCTCTAGGCCCCTCTGTCCTTGGGATTCTCTAGGCAAGAATACTAGAGTGGGTTGACATGTTCTTCTCAGGGAACCTTCCCAACTAAAGGATCAAACCCATATCTCTTTCATCTCCTGCATTGACAAGCGGGTTCTTTGCTACTCACGCCATTGGGGAAGCCCTTAGAATTACAAACATTAAAAAAAAAAAAGAAAGAAAATTATTGTTTCAGGAAATCTAATCATAACATCACTATTAACCTTTCTTTCCCAGTGCTGAAAAGATTGCATATAATTTCTCCAAACAATGTCTACAAATTGAGAGAAATAATATTAAAAAGAAGAAAATACTATTTCTGAGTTTAACAGAGAAAAAATTCTCAAAACCTCAAAGTTTATTTTAAAGTAAAAAAGAATAAGCATAAATGCTTAGAATTTCAAAAAAGCTTTTATTAATAAAGAAGTTTAAAATCACAGGTTACATGCATCCAACCTGGGCTGGTAGTCTGTTTCACCCTTGATAGTATACTTGTTTCAATGCTATTCTCTCAGAACATCCCACCCTCACCTTCTCCCACAGAGTCCAAAAGTCTGGATGCATGAGACAAGTGCTCAGGGCTGGTGCACTGGGAAGACCCACAGGAATGGGATGGGGAGGGGGGCGGGAGGGGGGATTGGGATGGGGAACACATGTAAATCCATGGCTGATTCATGTCAATGTATGGCAAAAACCACTACAATATTGTAAAGTAATTAGCCTCCAACTAATGAAAATAAATGAAAAAAAAAAAAGAATAGAAAAATAAAACCACAGGTTACATAGTCATACAATGGATATAATTCAATATAAAAATCATTTAATGGCTGCCATGAGGACATTGATTAAATTAAAGAGAGAAATGCTGCTAAGCATGGTCACTGCTGCTAAGGATTAAATCTTGCATTGGAATTCCATAAAGGAGATCAATACTGATGTACCAATTGAAATATGAAAGCACAAAGTGCTGGCAGCATGTCTAAGGAACCCCACAGGGCTAGTGTGTTAAGTTGCTTCATTCATGTCTGACTCACTGTGACACCCTGGCCTGTAGCCTGCCAAGTTCCTCTGTCTGTAGGCTTTTTCAAGCAAGAATACTGGAGTGGGTTGCCACTTACTCCTCTAGGGGATCTTCCCGACCAGGAATTGTACCCACATCTCCTGTGTCTCCTGCATTGACAGTCAGGTTCTTTACCACTAGTGCCACCTGGGAAGCCGCTGGGACTAGAAGAGTGACAAATAGGGCTAGAACAGTGATAAATAAATAACAAGGAAACCAAATATGTGGAAGATGGGGAAAAGATGATAATTAAAAAGTGATGTCAATTAAATAATTTGCTTTTTGAAAAGAAAAGCTTTAGTCATTTCAAGAGTTCAAAATATGCATGCAGTGATAACTCATAGAGCTCATAGATCAGCATTTAAATATTTGTTAAATTCTTCACCAACTTGAACTGCTATTGTCCATCATATTTAAACTTCCTTTGACTTTTGCTCTCTTTGAAGTTAGTTATCATATCGTGGTCCCTGTACGCAGGCATTTTCCACTCAAGTCAACTTCCCAATATCAGTGTCCTCTAATTTAAATGACATTCCCACAAGGAATCTTTTGCTGACATTGTTTTAATTCCTCCTTCACCAACATGACCACCAAGCCTGAGTTAGTCCAACTCATCCACACTTCTCATCACTTATTTGCTGTTTTCATATTTCTCATCCAATTACACTTTCATGTTTGCTTGTTCTTATTTTATTCTAAGTGGTAAATGTCTTGGAAAAGTCTATCTTGTGTACCAAATTCTAGAATGCCTTAAGCCTGGCATCTACACAAATAGTAGTTACATAGTAGATCATGTTCCAACATGATGATCTGAATACTTCTGGTAATGCGAATGAGAATTTTTATATGAAGATGAAAAATACAAAAGTAATATTTAGGATTAATCTGTGAACAAGAAGGAAGAAAAGTATAGTAAAAGTATAATCCTGTTAAAAATGTTTATTTTTAAATTTTGGAATGAAGTAGAATAGAAATCAAAATTTATTAAAAATTTATGATATTGATAAACCTGAAAATTATCCTACAGTTATTGTGGTCAAAAATTACACTGGAAAAATGTGGAGAAATAAAAGTTAAAATAAGTTAACTATTGCTAGCAAGTGGCACAAGTAGGATCCAAAACTATTTATATTGGTGTACAATGGAACTCTTTGTTTAAGTAACTGTATCTGCCTCTGCAGAGACACCAAGAGTGTTTCAAGGAATAGCCCAAGGAATACCTACCAGCATTAAAATTTAGCAAGATATATGTTATAAACAAAATACAAAGATAAAAATAAAATATAATGTATTATACACATACATTATTCATTGTATGGTAGTTATAAATGATATTAACTGTAATTTGATAAAATACCAAAAAGTTGAGATTAAATTAAAAAATCAGTGTACTGATACATGGAATTAAAGAGGAAGAGAAAATGAAAAAAGAATAAAAGCAAGAGAAGAGGAAAAGAGAAAAAATGATCTTGTACCTTGGATCTTCAACCTCATTGAGAAAAGCCTGCCTTCAGGCACTCTTCTTGCTGCTAATCATCTATTCTCCTAAGACGGATTTCAAATGTGAAGTTAGAAGAAATTCCTGCAGAAATTTCTCAAAATCTTAGAGTGCTTGAGGGACAGGTTGTCCAAGTTCAGTCCCCTTCAGGGATCAAAAATGTTTTGTGTCCTTGCAAATTTCAACCAGAAGAAGCATCTGGGTCTAGAAACCCTAATCCTACAGCTGTAGTTTAATTTCAGATTTCTGAAGTATTTAGCTTCTCTGATATTTTGATTCTGCCTATGCTATCAATTTAAATATAGGATACACACATATGCATGCATATATACATGTGCATATTTATTTAAGATTTAGTGTTTAGTGTTACACATTTCTCTCCATGTGAGAGTTGCTTAATCTATCTACACAGTTAAGATGAAGGGTACAGTGTTTACCTTCTGAATAGTCTTCACTGATATCAATTTATATAACTGTGGTTGGTTACACTACTGATTCCTGACTTTTTTAACCAAAAGTGCAAAATCATTTTCTACACAAGCCTAGTTTATCCTCTGGGCTCACAGCTTGGTCACACCCATATTATTTTCTTAATGATAACAGGCTACTAACTGATATTATTAAATCACACATTTCTTCAATATGCATTCCAAACAAATTGAAAAAAGGCACTGGAGTCAAGTAAGTGCAAATAATTGTTTCACTCATGATGAATGCAGACTGAAGGATATGTCTAAGATGGTAGAACTTCCTTTACTGGCCTAATTTATTATACATGTGGCATTAGAAGTAGAGAACCCACTGCCAATTTAGGAGATGTAGTAGACATTGGTTTGATCCCTGGGTTGGGAAGATTCCCCTGGAGAAGGAAATTGTAAGTTACTCCAGTATTCTTGACTGGAGAATCCCATGGATAGAGGAGCTGGGTGGACTGTAATCCATAAGGATCACGAAGTTGGACACGACTGAAGTGACTTTGAAGCCACACACTTCTGATGTCATAGGTGAGGACACTGGGCCCCAGAGAGCTAACTCAGTGGCAGATACAGAGAAGAGGGCAGCTTGCTTGTCTTTCAGGTCACCAGTCATGAGTGGTGATGATACCTCCAACTCAATAAGCAAATACATTTTGTAGAAAGTCCTTCAGTCATCTAGATTTTATTTTATTATTAGTTTTAATTTTTTATTTCACAGTGAAGCATATACAATTAAGAATGCTGTTATAGTTTTAGGTGTACAGCAATGCCGCTCAGCCATACATATGCATGTATCCATTCTGAGCTGAGTTTCCTGTGCTATCCAATATTTTGTTGGTTGTCTGTTCTAGACATAATACTGTGTACATACAGGTTTTAAACCATCCTTAAATGCTATTTTTAAACACTCATAAAGGGAGAAAAGACACAATATTTAATGGAAAAATACCCATTTTTCAGATGTCATAATTAGCAACATATTAAAATTATTTTCCTCTGTCACTTTCTGATCATTTATTTTTTGACTATCATTTCACCTTATAGCATTTTACCCATAAATTCACTTTATTTTACCACAAGTTTATCAGTAGGTGTAGGGAAGGGAAAATCACTCAGTCGTGTCCAACTCTTTGTGACACCATGGACTATCCAGGGAATTCTACAGGCCAGAATACTGGAGTGGGTAGCTATTTCCTTCTCCAGGGGATCTTCCCAACCCAGATCTCCCATGCTGGAGGTGAATTCTTTACCACCTGAGCTACCAGGGAAGCCCAAAAATCCTGGAGTGGGTAGCCTATCCCTTCTCCAGCAGATCTTCTTGACCCAGGAATTGAACCAGGGTCTCCTGCATTGCAGGTGGATTCTTTACTAGCTGAGCTACCAGGGACGCCCTGTTTTCAGTGGGTGTAGCTAACTGATAAGAAAGTGTTCTTTTACCTCCACCATGCTGTTGTCCCATGTATCAGTGAAAATAGTCAAAATAGATTCTCATATTCAGAGGAATATGAGAATTCATACTTTCCTTTCACATACAGATTTTTTTTTTCTACTATTAGATGTGTGAATCAAAATCCAAAGAAAATTCTTTATCATGTTCAGTTGTTAGGTTACTTACCACATTCTATCTATTCTTTTTTTCCCCCCTCTTTTTTTTGTCATTTATTTATTTTTTTAAAATTGATTTTAATTGGAGGCTAACTACTTTACAATATTGTGGTGGTTTTGGCTAGGGTCAATGTAGCATCTGTCTATTTTTATAATGGTGTAATTTTTT